CACACACACACACACACACACACACACACACACACACGCACACACACACACACTGCGCTCAAGCTTTCTCCCCTTCCCTCCCCTCCTTACTCCTCTAGTGCCCAGCGCTCATTGAGTGCAGGGTTGCTTCCTCCTAGAAGCCCTCCTTGCTTGCTTTCCAGTGAATCCTGACTTCTGCCCCTAAAGATCTAGTACCCTCCATCTGAAACCCCATCCTCTCAGTGTTCTGAGAACATCTTCCTCGTCCCTGATCATGGGAGCTGCTCAAGGACCAGAGCCAATCTGGCTCATCACTGTGTCCTCGGTACCCAGCCCCAACAGGCGTGGCTTAGCGTAGGATCTTAGAAAACATGAGCCATGGACATCTGGGATTAGATAAGACAGACCGTGTCTCCTGCTCCTGGCTGGACAACCCACAGCAAACCTTTTATTTTTTTCCCTTTTTTTTTTCCTTTTTTTTTTTCTGGTTTTTCAATACAGGATTTCTCTGTGTAGCTTTGCGCCTTTCCTGGAACTCACTTGGTAGCCCAGGCTGGCCTCGAACTCACAGAGATCCACCTGCCTCTGCCTTCCGAGTGCTGGGACTAAAGGCGTGCGCCACCACTGCCCAGCCCATTTTCTCTCGTTGAGCATCAGTTTCTTCGTCTCTAACATCAGTATGACGTTCTCAACTCAGCATTGTGAGGACTTTGGAACCTGGAAAATGTTGGTGAACGGTGGGTCCCTGAGCTCTGCCACTTTCCCTGTGAGCATCAATTCTGTGTCCTCTGTAGAAAAATGCCCTGGAGCCCTATTCTGAAAGGTCCTTAGAGATAAGGGGTGGGGGGGGAGACAGGCATGCCAGATCAGGCCCTGAACTTGAAGCCATAAATTTTAGACACAGCTCCATACTTCATTGTCTGCGTGGTCCCGGGCAAGTCCCTCACTTCCCTCAGTCTCAGGATCTTGATCTAGAACTGAGGCTAAAGCTACACACTAGCCTAAAACTCCAAATAACACAGGGCAAGAGCAGAGTTCTCCCTTACTGTACCCCGAAGCAATCTCCTGCCTTCTCCTGGGTCTCCCTGCGACTTGGGGCTGTGTCTAAAGAGCACACTAGACATGAGCCATGTCTGTTCCGAGACTGGACAAAAGTCTTCCTAGTCTAGATGACAACCAATGACTGAGATAAGCTCTGAGACTCTGGACAGCTCTTGGTGCCTAAGAGGGTCCCAAAGGCTGGTGCGTCCTTAAGTGTCTGTGTTTTCAGAGAGTTGTACAAATAGAGAAATAGGAATGCAGCCAGGGAGGGCACATTTCTCCTCTCCAGATCGTTCCCTTCCCCATTTCCAGTCCATGTTTGTGTGTTCTTCCTGAATGCTGCCTGGAACCAAGTACATAACAGGTGCTCAGTAAGTAAGTGTTCGAAGGATGGATTTGGTCTGGACAGTCAACAAGCATCATTGATTGCCTACTGTATTAGTACACTTAGCGCTGTGCTCAGGCAGGGAGCACTGGGTGGTGTATATAAAGTAAGTAGTGCTGACAAACCCCTTCCCGGGCTCCCTCGGACGCCTCCACGCCCCTTCAGTAAGCAGCTCCTACTGGGTGCTGGGTTCCAAGCCAGGACTTCCTCCAGAACTGAGATAACGCCCAAGCACATCAGGAATCCTGGAAGGCTACACCCTAGGGCCACAACTCTTCAAATTCTTCAGGTCTGGCATGCCCGCTCCACCAGCGCCCAGCGGCCTTTGCTCCTGGCTCCCAGACAGTGAACACGGCCCCTTCGCCCCTCCTAACGCCCTACATCAGCCTGGGGCTTTCCCCGGAACGGCCAGCAGGTGGCGTGGAGGCTCCCCTCTCCCCATCGCTGGACCGTAGGCTAGATCCCACCTGGACCCTCTCCCTCCTTTTCCCTCAGCCAGGATAAAACTGGATCCTGTGACCTCTATCTGACCCTCCTCTTTGCTGCTGCTCCTGAAATGGCTAACCGAGGAGACTCGGGTTGCTCCTGCAGGCCCCTGGTAGTCTGGGGAAGGCAAGGAGGTCCCTGGGGGTTAAGCTGCAGCTGGTGGGGTGGGGCTGGTAGGGCGGGCCAGGCAGCAGCTGCCAAAAGAGAAAGAGAAAAAGAAGGGGGAAGATCCCTGGCTGGGCTACCCTCCCAGGCAGGTCCAGGCTCCCGCAAGGTCCCGGCTGAGGCTCATCCCCAGGACAGGGTATGTAGCCAAGGAAACCGATGGGGGGGGAGGGGGGAATCAGCCTGCCCATCATGGCAGTCCTGGGGGTACAGAGGGTTGGGTGGTGTGATTGGAAAGCTCAAGAGAACCCCCTGAGCCCCCTCCCACCTCGTCCCTCCCAGGGATCTAGGTAGAAACTTGGGAGGGGGCGGGGGAAGAGTCCTTGGGGAAGGGGAAGGGTATTAGTAGAGGAGTGTCCTGTGGCTCCTTTTGCCTCATGGTGGGGTTTGCACCAAGCACCGGGGCCTCTGTCTTTGGGCCTCAGTTTCTTCATCTAAAGCCTGGACCGAAGACCTTGAAGATCTTTGTTCACCCTCTTTGGGAAGAGATCTCCGGAAAACCTATGACAAAGGAGTGTCCCCCCCACCCCCCACCCAAGGGTGAACTTTCAGATGGGGGGGGGGGTGTTGTGACCAGCACGGCCCTTTGTGTCAGAAGGCCAAAGGACTCTCTCTGGTCTAGCCTCACTCCTCAGTCTTGCTTCTCTGACTGGGACTCGAGTTAAAGAATGTCACAGGCGGGGGCCGGGGGCTTTGTGTCGGTCCTGTAGTAATTCTCCTTAGGAAAAGGATCGTGAACGCGGGCGAAGGCTCCTCCCTACCTCTAAGACCATCAAAGGAGCAGCAGAAGGGTGTGTGAGGACAGGATGGCACATGGTTGTTCCCAAGGTGGAGAAGAAAGGGTTCTCAGAGTGCGTTAATTAGCCGAAGCTTTGTGCGGCGGCTCCCAGCCCCCAGCACTTTAGCGCCATTAGCCAAATCAATGCTGAGAATGGGCATAGTGGTCCCCCAAGCCTCGGGAAACCGCAGCCTCCGCCTCGCTGTTTTTGAAGAAACACGATTCCAGGTTGTTCTTTTAATAATCTAGAATGTGAGCAGGTTTATAGAGATTCTAGACACTGGGGTGTTGAAGCCACTCTGGGTAGGGAGTCTGTGGAGTCAAGTCCAGTTCTGGGAATCGGAGGACCCTGGGTTCAAGTCACACCGTGGAGGGGCCTCACTGCAGTGTCCGTCGACATGAAATGCCCACAGCGGAGTCGACCTCAAGGGGCTGCAGTGAGAACGAAGTTCCACACTCAAGCAAGGCCCGCAGAGTGTCTGCGCCTAGCAGATGTTCACAGTGCTCCGGGGGGGATTAAAAATAGCAAATGAAAAAGAAGGGACTGGCCTGGGGTCTCAGCTAGACCTCCAAGAGAGTCGAAGGAGGCCATCCTCAGCCTCAGTGGACACACCGAGCTCCTCCCCAGAGTGTGCTGTCCGGACCCTATTTAACCCCCGCAGGGTGTGTGTGTGTGTGTGTGTGTGTGTGTGTGTGTGTGTGTGTGTGTGTGTGTGTGTGTGTGTGATGGGTGCCTGGAGTGTGGGCCGGAGTGAGAGGTGGGGCACAGATGGGCATCTCCCAAGCACTTTGTCCTCCCTCTCCCCTGGGGAAGGGCCGGGCCGGGTCAGGACCGGGGCTGGGACTGACCGCGGTGCGGTGCTGCGGCTCCTTCCCCCGCCAGAGAGCGGGAGCCGCGGACGCCCGAAGCCCCTGGCTCTCCGGGCGCCGGCAGAGTGGGGATCGGGGACAGGAGTGGGGGCGCCCTCGGTCCTCACCCCG